GTGAGTATTAATGTGAGTATAAAGTGAGTATTAAAGTGAGTATTAAATGTGAGTATTAATGTGAGTATTAATGTGAGTATTAATGTGAGTATTAATGTGAGTATTAATGTGAGTATTAATGTGAGTATTAATGTGAGTATTAATGTGAGTATTAAAGTGAGTATTAATGTGTGTATTAATGTGAGTATTAATGTGAGTATTAATGTGAGTATTAATGTGAGTATTAATGTGAGTATTAATGTGAGTATTAATGTGAGTATTAATGTGAGTATTAAAGTGAGTATTAATGTGTGTATTAATGTGAGTATTAATGTGAGTATTAATGTGAGTATTAATGTGAGTATTAATGTGAGTATTAATGTGAGTATTAATGTGAGTATTAATGTGAGTATTAATGTGCTATGATTGTTTGTATCTTTTAGCCCAATTTATAATACTAAGCTAGTTGTTGTACTAAAAACAAGTGATAATGTATCTTGTCATATGGCCCATAATTATGCTAATAGTATGCAAATAGCTAGATATTAATTGTTGTTCAATTATGCAATAAAGATTATTATTATTATTATTATTACATCCTAACATTGCACTCCATCTATGGCTTAGTGTTACATAATAAACAAATTCATGTAAAAATCAATCTTAATGTGTTTTGTTTTCAGATCAATAACAATATTTTAGATGAATTGTCCATCTACACGGATGTTCCAGAGTTAATATTTGGAGCATCGCATATTATATTATCACCACAACACATCATATTACATCGTTTACAAAATAAACTGTCTACAAGTAAAGAACAGTTAGAAAGTCTTAATGAAACAAAAGGTAAACAATTGACAAGTACCATGGTTCTATGTAATACATGACATCCACACACTGTAGATTATTGGACAATCACTATTCCTCATTCTTTGTTGAAAATTATGTACATCTTGAACTGTTAATGCTATTTAACTATATTTGTGTGTGTGTCTTGTCAACACTAGCAGTAATCAGTGACCTTTACATTAATTTTGTTTATTTTTCAGTTTTAAAACTTGACCTTGCTGCAACGCATCCATTCACCAAGAAAAGTCTACCAGTGTTTGTTGCCAATGACAACAGGTTCACAGAACATTATGATGCATTGATTGGAATTCCATCTGGTTGTCAAGACGACATGGATTTTGCTTTAACTCATGATTTAAAAATAGTAGACATTTTTACAGCAGAAGAAACTGATGATGGCATAATTCTAAATTCTGATCAAGTAAGTTGTACATTTCATTACAAAGTATGCACTGCTTTTTTCTGGTATGCTGTATAGAAACATTTTGTACTGAGAAATATTTTTTAAGTGTTAAATTCAGTCAGTGAAGAAAACAATGTATTATATTGTTAAATTAGAATATTCACCCGGTTTGAATTTAGCTTATATATTATTTTTGTCTTCATTCAGTTCAGTGGTATGACTCGAACAGCTGCAAAAGATGCCATTACAAAATATGCCAGAGAACATGACATAGGCGGTCACATGACTAGCCCCAGGCAATTTGATTGGTTCATATCAAGACAGCGATACTGGGGTACACCAATACCTATAATTCACTGTCCCAAGTGTAAGGTAGGTAATACATTGGAGTTTTACTTGACACTTCTAAAACATTTTAAATTTTAATAATGTTATTAGTTTCTATGCAGAAGAGAATGGCTGACATAGCAGAAACTAAATTTGATAAATTCATAAATCCCTGTTCTGAAAACAGGATTGCGTCTGTCTATTCATCTCCAGTAGAGTATATCACACATGCTGGAACAGAATAAGTTTTAACTGTATATATACATCAGACATTATATTGGACATACACACAATCATGCATTTGTTTAATCATCTGATTGAAGATGGTTGAATGGCAGCCATTTTAATTTATAAAAATCGCACATTTTTAACATTTCAGAACAAGATCTTGGTCGTATGTGGACAGATTCAGTTTAAACTTGGTCAATACATTGAACATAATGGGATCTTGATGCACTTGCTGTCTGGTGACCATTTTGTTCAAAGAGTGTAGTTCAAGATATACATCTTTGACATGCCTTGATTGATCAAATTAAAACTCCACACATACATCACAGGTCATATCAAATGAACGATCATGTATAATAAGTATATTAATAATGTTTATTGCATAATCATATCCTTATTTGGATATTGACTCAGAAAAAGAAAATTACAATAAAGATGAAAAAATTGTAGAAGTAACAAATTGAAAGCGCTAAAATTGAAAAGAATAATAAAAAAAATAGTTTATTTTTTATTTATTTATTTA